ACCAGTCCAGCCTGTGCTCATATACTGGGGACTTACACCCTTGACCAATTTGTCGTCCCACTTCTTTAGGTAACACACTTAAATGGCACTGGATTTTATGCCAGGCATTTTGCTTTATATTTTCTCATTTAGTTCTTTGGCTCCTGTTTATTTCAAATGTGAACAATTTCCTTCCACCAGACATGATACTATTAATTTTGAAATAACCACTCTGTCTGGTAAAGTACTAGAGATACAGTTATTCAATAATGTAAGATAAAGTAAATCAAGCAATATAATCAGAAAGCCCATAATTTACATTTATAAATGTTTTCTTCATAAAAGCTTAAAGTTCTAATGAGAAATCATAGTCTCACATACACAGTGTTTTATAATCTATCCTGAGATGACCTGTCTCTTGTATTGAGAAAGGATATCCAGTTAGAATTAAAGAAATCTTTCAAGTAATAATTTCAGGGTGCATACAGACTTATTTCCCATAGCCCAAGGAAATAAGCACTTATTTTCAACATTTAATCAATATGTTGTTCCCCCTGTCCCAGAAAGTCCTCCCCTGATTTATTTTTTAATGCTCACCTCTTCAAGGAAGCCTCCCACGACTGAGCAAGGGTGAATTCTACTCTTCTTTGGTTCCCTCTGTACCACTTTGATGCTTGGATAGCTGTTGTTTTGGAGCTGAAATATTTGTATGTCATTTGCCTTAATAAACTGTGATACCTTTGAGGGCAGGGATAATATCTAATTCAATCATTTTAGCACTCCTGGTCTGGCATGGTGCCTACCATGTGCTAATGATGCAGTTGTGCATTAAATGTTTGTGGAACCTTATTTAAACTCCTCCTTTTAGTGCAGTGGTTAAGAGCATGGGCTCTGGTACTAGGAAGCCTGGGTTTAAATTCTGGCCCAATCATTTGCAATGGGACCTCTGTGCCTTAGTTTCTTCAACTTCAAAATGGGAATAATAAGAATGGTACTTCATAAATTTGTTGTGACAAGTAAAGGAGTGAAATTATACACACACACACACACACACACACACACACACACACAAATGCATGCATATAACTTAAGAGTGCATGGGAAAAGCTCTTGAAATGTAAATCAATTATTAGTTTTATTTATTTAGACACATGAATACTTGCAATTCTATGATATAATAAATTACCTTACACTTGTAAGTAATTACAAGGTGTATTGAGGGGTGATTCTTCACAGGTTAGTGTAGCATTCTCAATAATGCCCTCATTTACAAGTGAGGAGGAGATTACCATGTTGGTAATATCATGGAGTTGGTAATAAGCTGGAATATCATGGAGTCGGTCTGTGAGTGAGGGACCAAATCCTCACAATATGTCATCTGGCCCTTTAAACCTACATAAACTAAAATTTCCTTCACGTTATAAAGCCTAGCTCTTAAGTTTACCCACAGCTTCATTAATTCAAATATTTACATTCCTGGATCAGTAGCCTTTTCTTCAAATTCCCTTTCGTTCACCACTTCACTTTTTAATCTAATTCAGCTACTTATTAGCAAACAGGTTTTAGCTATGTGCTTGATTGCTTGAAGGCATTTACTACTAGTGGCACTGAGTCACTGTTTGGAAACTTATCTGTTTATGTCACTCTCCTAGTTTAAAAAAAGGTATATGTAAAAAAGTTATTCCTACTTTCATTATGAATAGTGTGGTAAAGGTTATTTTAAAGTATCCATATTGTTTATAATTGAAATATTCTATTATAAGGATAATTATACATCATTAAAGAGCCTAGTAAATACATATATGTAAATTATATATATAATTGAAAAGCATTCTATATGCTCTTCATAGTAAATATATATGTGTGTATGTATAAAATTTACTATGCTCTTCAATTTGCTAAACACATTTTACTTGACTTTGAACAAATACACTCCTTTGAGCAAACCTGAGCCATAAAAACAAAAAAGAGAACAACTATGGGCTTGAAATCTCTCATTCTAAAATGAGCCGGTTAAACTTGGTTTCCAAGGGTTTCATATTCTCCTGATTGTCTGTTATCTGTATGGTAGAGGAGAGGAATCTGTCACCCAGGGTGAAGGAGGTGGCTCACCCCAAGTAGCTCACCATAAGAGAAGCCCTCAATTTTACATTAAACATTGAAATTAAATATTGTATATATATTCTATTCCATAGAATACATAGCTTTTATTAGTATATAAGTAATACCATTGTCCTCCTCCAAATCTTTGGTCAACTGACATAATAGAAAATATGTCTTGATTATCTATGCTCTTGAAGGGCCTCCTGCAAAGCCTCTTCAGTTTAGAAATATTAATTTCATAACAAGGACATTTAAATCAACCATTCTAGTGTTTCTTAAAATTGAATCAATACTAGATAGTGTGTTTTTCTTGGATGATGGGCTTAGAGAGGAGAGAGTCTAGGAAAAAAAATTTAAAGATTTATTTATTTTTAGAGAGGGAAGGGAGGGAAAACAAGAGGAAGAGAAGCATCAATGTGTGATTTTCTCTTGCATGCCCCCCACAGGGGACCTGGCCCAAAACCCAGGCATGTGCCCTGACTGGGAATTGAACTGGCAACCTTTTGGTTCATAGGCCTGCGCTCAATCCACTGAGCTATACCAGCTGGGGCAGAAAATATTTTAAAAAATTATTGTAAGGATTTGTAGCCATTAAAACTATGGTGTTACTGAAAGGAAGGGCTAAAAATTCAGATATGTGAAAATATTGACCTTGCTTAAAGTGGGACATCCAAGAGGAGCTTTTTTATGGGACATTTAAATTAGGGATTATTTTTTGTGTGAGGAGGAATTCAAAATACAGGTTTGATGGTAATTTGAAGAAGTAGAAGCAATGGAAAAATAAGATTTGTTAGAAATTCTGAATTTAGTGAAACTTCACAGGTCAGAGGAAATACAATCATTGATGGGAGGAAAAATCACTTGTAGAAGACAGAAGAGGGAGAAAAACCAGGCCCCTGCACTGAAACAAAGAATAGTGAAAGCTGAGGCATGCCACCACTTGTCACTTACTTTAGAAAGATCATGAAGAATGAGAGGTTATCAAATAAAAGGTAAAATGACAATGCAGAAAGAGAAACATACAGTTTAATATGTGGAACATTCACTGGAGGCTGTCAGTCCAATAACACCCATTACACGAACAAATCTATATAATAACAAAAAAGAAAAGGGTTCTAGAAAAATAAAGTCAAAGTTCATTCACTGAGTCACTTTGGAACAAAACTGTTTCGTTTCTTGTCTTTGTAATCTGACATCCGTATTGTTCCCGTACATTGCAACCTAATCTCCTAAAGGAAGGTATTCCATGCAAGTTACTACCAGTACAACTTTTGGGAAGGTAGGTTGAATTTGAAATTCAACAATGAATGTTATTAGAATAAAATTTAAATAAATAAAGCAACGGGGCCAGGTACTTCAAAGACAATCCTTTCAACTTATTACTTACAAAGCTGTGCCACAAGTATAGCTTCTATCTAAAGCTACTGTTGCATTTTATTCACTATTCAACTAGTGACTGACAGAGGAGGAACTAACTAGAGGAGAAAAATAAAAAAAGAGAGTGTAGAAAGTCGGAGGAAGAAACACGCCTTCTCCTAAACCTGCAGATTCTCACACAGGAAACACGGGTTTTCTAAAATGACCTCAAAGAACATTTCCACTTCATATGCACAATGAGGGATTTTGAAATCTGATGGCCTAAGGCTATCCACACCCCACACTGTAAAGCATCATTATATAGACACCAAAAACCGAGAAGCATCACCATCAAAAATAAAGCAAAGCAAATAAAACAATGAAAAAATACCTCCTACTTCTAAGGAAGAAACCTGACCTTAAGGAAGACAAATGGTTCTCCAGCCCAGTGGACATCTCATCCTAGTGGGATGGCACTAGGATAGAGGCAGATCTGTCACAGAGATGTCAGCTAATCTAGCTTTGTTCTAACTCTCTGATGTTCAGGAAGACAAACCTCTGTTTAGATAAATAGCTGCATGTACTAGTTCAATTTTTTGAATGGCTCAGAATGTCCTGCCTCTAATTTATTGTCAATTTATTCAGTAGTATGCATAATTTTAAATAGGTAGGATGTCAAGTCAACTATAAAAAGAATTTCATGGAAGTTTCATGGTGTAAGTAAATTTTACGACAAGACTTTTGCTGTTAAAGAACAAAAATGGTACCAATGGTTACAACAGGAAAACAAGTGCTGACAATTGAAATGAGTTCAATATTTCTCTTACCTTTCACTTTTCATAGTACTGAGCGCAGTAATGAACTGCTAGTCTGTCTGACCAAATGTTATATAATCTTATTCATTTTAAAGTATATTAATACAGAAATAACTCTCCTTTCTGTTTCCTTTTTTTCCTAAATACCTTGAGGATACAAAGCTTTTAAGATTTATAAGCAGTAGAAAAATATTTGAAACCCAAATTTGTATTAAAACATTTTTTGTAAAAGTCCACTGACCCATTTTTGTAAAGTAAAAATAACCATGGGGTTTTTACTTGCATTGAAAATCTAACAATTACAGTTCAATTATTATATTCATACAATACCATAAAAACTACATTTTAAGTTGCACAACTGACCTTCTTTTCTATAATAATATAAATAGAGCCAACGTTATAAGTAATTGTACTGCGGAACATTTTGAAAAGAAGAATCCTGTTGCTTTTCTTGCACAGAAACCAATTTGGATCTTTAATACTTCTTTGCATTTCCTTGCATATTTGTAAACATGACTTTAATCTTTTTTAACTTAAAGAAAAACATCTGACCACATGATATCTTGTTAGACAGCTATACAGAGAAAAATAATAAATCCATACATGTAAGAGATTTCCAGAGACAAAAAAATGAACTTCCTTTGCAAAGAAGAATCAATACTCTACAATCCCATCACAAACCCAAAGGTCCACTTTTGTTTCTCTGGAAAGAACTTGAGATGTTTAAGCTGAATTCACTTCACTTACCTGTGTGGCTTAGTTGAGATGTGCTTCTACTTCTTCGAGACACTATGGCAACCACTTTGGCACTCAGGCTCGATCTCCGTTTCTTTCCACCTGCTCCCACTGTACCCACAGCCGTGTCTGACTGACTGCCGTCATTATGCTCCAGTGTGTACATCTCTCCACTGACACTGGTGCTCTTCATGATGGCTCTTCCTGAAGTCCCCATCCGTCTGCCTTGCATTTTAGGGGTAAATGAACTATATTTACAAAGTAAAAACATATATGCATCCATAAATTACAGGTCAGCATAACTGAAATGCTAAATCTAATTTATTTTGAAATAATCCAGGCAGATTTTTAGGGGGAAAATCCAGTTCAGAAGTAGTCCTACAGCTATGTATATTTTAAGATCACATCACTGACCCTAAATATTTACTAGATGTAGCTTATAACCATATGACAGAGGAAGCTATAAACTTTCTCAAAGATAGTACAAGGAAATGCAACCAATCTGTCCATGGGAGGCACATGGTACTGGCCAATTTTGTAAATAGTTACTATGTTACTTTCAGAAAAACTAAAATATTTAAATAAATGAGACATTTTTATACATTCTTGAGGAAAGTTTTTTTGTTAAAAATGGATATTCTAAATCTGCCATATGACAAGTTTTAAAAAAATGAAAGCATGATCTGTTCTAGTTTTCCTTTAGGATTTCAACAAATGGATATGTCTTTGCTCTGGCTTAATGAGTTTAGGAAAGACTGCTAATGAAGCAAAAAAACAGAACAAAACCAAACACCATGTCCCTCCCTGACACTTTGTCTCCTCCACACAAACTTCATCTTGTTTTCCTATTTCAGCTGTTCAAATTCACCTGCTTTAAGCTGATACTTCCTTTTCCCCTTTTGTTCTTTTCTATTAGAACATATTGCCTATGTTCCCAGACTGTACTAGTTTATCAGAATTATATTACTTTACTTTTTTCTCAAATGAATAAATTATGCTCGAGAATTTCAGGAACCATGGAAGATTGATGGAAAAAACAAACACACCAACCAACCTACCAACCAAAAATCACCTCTACTTTCCAAAGTAAATGTATGTCTGTGAGTTGCAGAGAGGTAGGGCAGGAAAGTGGGGAGCCAAGATGTTAGGATTCTTTGAACCTTTTAAGTTACTGTTGCATATACAGCCACATTATACATCTAGATGAACTTTTACCCTCTTAATTTTGTTTTCTCAAAATATTGTAAAAATTGGCTTTACATGACCATTGCCACCATGTAAATTTTCTATTTCTTGAGCTGATCTGCAAAATACATGATCTAATGTACAGCATACTTAAACAGTGATGCCATTTAATAGAGAAGTGCAAATAAATCCTAGTATGATTAGAAAAGATAAAATAAAATTTTATCTTGGGATCATGCAACATATTTGTGGTCACAAATATGAAGGGGGACCCAAAAAACCTGTAATTATCTCCTGGAGCAGGGGCCCCTTGTGACATAGGCTTCTCCCACTAAGTCAGTGTTCTAGGATACCATCTGTATCAGTGTACAAGCTGGCATTGTTGTGAGAGGCTAAATTCGGGTTCAGTGAATTTTTCTGAAAACTCTTGCAATGTGTTAGCCCATTTCATGATTGGCGACTTATGAGCGTACCTGTCTACACTGCAGAGTGTTTAGCGGTGTTTGACTGAGAATGGCATGACTCCATTCCCCACCCTCCCTATTCACCCAATCTTGCCCCAAAGGACTTTTTTTGTTTCCCCAGGATGAAAAAAATCCTGGGAAAACAAAAAAGTCCTCAAAGGGAAAAATTTTGCCGAAATGGAAGACTTGAAACAAAAAATAGCAGAAGCACTAAAAGGCATCAAAATCAAAGAGTTCAAAGACTGTTGTGAGCAGTGAAAAAAGTCTTGACAGATGTATTCATCAAATGGAGAGTACTTTGAAGATGACTGAAGTTTAAACATGTAAGAATAAATACACAATTTTTAATAAAGAAATTCCACTTTTGGGTCCCCCTCAAATAATGAATGTTTAAGCAAGGGGAATTGGTGTGGGGTGAGTTCAGACAGGTGGGAGGGCAATACTATTGAGAAATTTTGTACAATGTTCTTTAGGTTATAGAGAAGTTTAAAAGTATAGGAAAATGTCTCCTATATTTCTACCAAGAAAATTTATTCAAGATGGCATAGGAAGATTCAATAATATTGTATAGATATTTAGTCAAAGCAATGAAATATTCTGCAATGGTGACAAGTAAAAATTCTGAAAAAAAAAAAGAAATCAGTAAAGTGAGTGATTACTATTTGGAGAGGGACAAATTAAGAAGTTATGCTAAAAATAATTTTGTGAGTAAGCATGATGTAATTTTTCCTCAAAAATAAAATATTTTGTTTAAAAGCATTCTTATATGATCTCAGGGTGGTGCATAGTTTCCTAAATAACCTGGAATACCATACGTTCAGTGAGAACCTGTTGAGTCATTTTTAATTCTTCTAACTGAGGGGAGAGGTTTGGAGGCGTCTAATTAGATTACTTTAATCAATGAGAAGGTCGATTTTTTAGCAGATGAGAAATTTAGAGCAGGCCCAATAAAGTGTTAGAGCTGAAACCCCTGCATGGTCCAAGACCCTTAAGAACAAAGTAAAATGGGTTCCTCAGTCTAAGCCCTAATGGACTCTCACTAGTGACATTTCCAATTCACATATTTCAGGGAGACAGAGAATGTTCCCAAAATGGAGTTCTAAGACACACAAAGAAACTAGAAAATATATGAATCAATCTAAAGCATTAAAAATATAACACTGAATAATGAGAGAAAGAAAAGAATACTTAAACCCCTAGAAAAATATAAAGATGGAGGTATGGTAAGAAAGCTAAAGTGTATTATAACAATTTTTTCCCCTAGAAGAGAATAGAGGTAATTACTAGCTTTAAATTTATTATTTAACTAAATATACCTGAAACATTAACTTAGGCACTAAAATCATAGAAAGAGAATAAAGTAATATATTTCCAGAATAATTGAGGGGAAAAATGAAATAAGAGCTATTCAATTAAAAACCAATCAGAAAAGAGGAAAAATAGTAAACATGAAAAATACTTTAAGACACTAGCAGTAATTTCAAATATGTGAGAAATCAAAAAAGGTAAACTGACTAGATAGTCAATTAAATGATAAAGATTGTCAGGATAAAAGAAACAAAACACACTAAACCCATCCCTATGCTGTTCATAAGCAACATGACTAACACATATGGCCACACAAAGGCTAAAAGTAAAAGGATGTGAACAGTTAGGATGAACATTAAAAAACAATGTCCTCACATAAGACAAAACAGACTTTAAAGAAAAAAAATATTAGAGATAAAGAGATTCACAACATAATGATAAAAGGATTAAATTACCAGGCTGTCAATTCTATCTGTACTGCTTGCTTATGGGCCATGTGAATTCAATAGGTTACTTCAGTTTTGTCTTTATTTATAAAATGAAATTAGTAACAATTACACTACAGGGCTGATATTGCATGCAAATCATCTATCAGAATACCTGGTACACAAAAAAGGTACTTACTAAGTCAGAATTTTTTAATCATTAAAATGTACCTGTTACATAACTATGGCAAAATTATAAAAGTGAAACATGAAATTGGTGAAGTTTGGGAAGCAGTGGTTCAAAGTAAAAGGATATTGTATTCATTCAAATAATAAAATAATTAAGCAAAGTGGGAGCAGAGTGAACATTTCTCAATGTGACAAAGGTCCTATGTAAGAGACCTACAGCCAATATCATACTCAACAGACAAAAACTAAAATCTTTCCCATTAAGATCAGGAGCAAAGCAAGGATGTACGCTTTCACCTCTTCTATTTAATATAGTATTGGAAGTACTAGCCACAGTGATCACACAAGAGAGAGAAATAAAAGGCATCCAAATTGGAAAGGAAGAAGTAAAACTGTCACTGTTTGCAGATGACATGATAGTGTAAGTAGAAATTCTTATAGACTCCACCAAAAAACTTCTCAACCTAATGAGCGAATTTGGCAAAACGGTAAGGTTCAAAAGCAATATTCAGAAACCAAAGGTATTTTTATACACCAACAATGAAAGATAAGAATCAGAAATCAGGAAAAAATCCCATTTGCTATAGCAACAAGAAAAATAAAGTACCTAGGAATAAACCTTACCAAAGAGGTGAAAGACTTGTACTCAGGAAACTATACAAAACTGAAGAAAGAAATTAAGGAAGACAAAAATAAATAGAGGCATATACCATGTTCATGGATTAACATAATCAAAATGTCCATATTAACCAAAGCAATTTACAGACTCAATCCAATCCTTATTAAAATACCAATGACATATTTCACAGATATAGAACGAACATTTCAAAAATTTATATGGAACCATAAATGACCCTGAATAGTCACAGCAATTTTGAGAAAGAAGACAAAGTAGGAGGGATCACAATACCTGATATCAAATTATATTACAAGACCACTATAATCAAAACAGTCTGGTGCTGACATAAGAACAGACACATAGATCAATGAAACAGAATAGAGAGCCCAGAAATAAATCCAAGTCTCTACAGTCAATTAATATTTGACAAAGGGGGCAGAAGCATAAAATGGAGTAAAAATAGCCTCTTCAACAAATGATGTTGGGATATTTGGACAGGTATATGCAAAAAAAAAAATGAAACTTGATCACCAACTTACACCATACACAAAAATAAATTCAAAGTGGATGAAAGACTTAAACATAAGCTGTGACACAATAAAAGTCCTAGAGGAGAACACAGGCAGGAAAACCTCAGATATTCCACGCAGCAGTATTTTCACTGATATGTCTCCTACAGCAGGGGACATAAAGGAAAGAATAAACAAATGGGACCTCATCAAAAATAGGAAGCTTCTGCACAGCTAAAGGAAACAGCATTAAAATGAATAGAAACCAATTATATGGGAAACATATTTGCAAATGACACCTTGGACAAGGGTTTGATCTCCAAATATATAAAGAACTCACATGACTCCACTCCAGGAAGACAAACAACCCAATTACAAAATGTGCAAAGGATCTGAACAGACTCTTCTCCAAGGGGGACATACAGAGGGTCCAGAGACATATGAAAAGATGCTCAGCATCACTAGCCATCAGAGAGATGAAAATTAAAACCACAATGAGATACCACTTTACACCAGTCAGAATGACCATCATAAACAAATCAACAAACA